CGGCGGTAGCAGTAGCAGCAACAACCAAACAAATTGTAAGATTGGTTTGGGGTGGGATGTGAGGAGGAGGTGTAGAGTGGTGGTGGGTTGGTGGGAGGGCAGTGGAAAATTTACGTTGCTGAATTCTCTCCGGCTTCAATGATCTAAATGGGAGGGCAGGAGAGACGGCGGTGGTGGTGGTGGTGGGGGATCTGGAACTGTGGCTAAACAGTTATGCGGGGGCGGTGATCACCCTTACATTGGCCATCCTTTGTGTCCGCACTTGCTCCACCACCCCCCTTGAGTTGCCGCCACTGGCAATTGCGTTTTGAAAAAGGGGATGAATGCGATGGAATTGTGACACGGAGGGCTGCGGCCTCTCGAACCGCTCGGTCCTCTCGCCTCTCGCCATCCCCACGAGGCTCCCACAATTTAAATATATTTTTTTATCGCTTTGCCAATCAGCAGATGCGCGCCGCGTGTTACGAGCTCATTTTGCATGTTAATATTTTTTTTGGGCTAAACGGGAAATGATGGGAAGCTTTGAACAGGGCGTTCGAGAAACGTTTGCGTGATGACACGCCTGCAAATCGCGAGCTGCATTTTTTGTTTCACCCAACATTTGTTCACCTTTCCTTCTGGTGGTTTATTTCCGATTGCGCTATCGGCGTTGTGCCGTGCCGCGAGAACGAGGGCCCGTGGAGAAATGCCACAGAGTGATGCGTAGGTAGCCCCCTCCCCCACCCCCCCCCCCCCACCGTGTGTGGGGGGGGGTTGCGGGAGAGTTTTTCATCGCAGTACTTTTGAACAAAATTAATCAGGTGGTCATTTCACCCTCTGTACAGCAGGAGTCGCACTTTCCCACACGCGATGCTATTCACACGATATAACTCCCCCTCCATCCCCCCCCCCAAAAAAAAACTAACTAACCTGTATTATGTATATTGGTCGCGATAGGCTACGGTGTTAAACTATGCAATGTTGGTTGCGTGACAAGTCAAAACAATATTTGCATCACTGTTATAGTCAGAGACGTTGTTTAAGCCAATCAAATGCAAAAGACATTTTTAACGAGATAAAATAAAAAAAATTGCGCAGTCATTTATGACCGGCCTGATACAGCGTCCGATTTACTTCCCAGAGGGTTACGGCATTTCGGCAATTTGTACTGTGGTGAGGGGGGGGGGTGAGTGAGGTCTGGGGTGGAGGAGGTTCAGTTTGCGAATGGATTTCCACCTCTGGTGGTGAAGTTCACCGAGTGGATCCAGGATGAACGCAGTTTGTGACCGTTCTGCTTCGGTATGGGATTGTGTTTTTTTCTCCCCACCCCCGCCCGTTTCTCCAAAGATGAAATAGTGCGTGGCATGCGCGGAATCTTACTGCCGTCATTTGTTGCTTTGAGAAGTAAATCGGTTCCCAGTTGGGGGATGTAATATACATGTTTTAAATAAAAAAAAAACTAGACAAAGTGCTGCTTGCAGACTTTCATTCAAGTGTCTGGGGTCTGGTTTACGTACAGCTGCAATAAACACCCAAGTACGTTTTGATGTTTCTGTCAATTAATTTGACTACACGTTTTTTTTTTCTTTCAGTAAAATTGTCGAAGCCAATATTCCATTACTTCTGTAGTGCGTGAGTCTTCTGCTTAAATATAATCTTGCTCGTGTTTGCCGCTAATTGCTTTTTTTTTTCACTGCTGTATTTTTTATTCTTACGTCTCGAGTACTCACCATGTTAAACAAAATCAAATTTGCACTCAATTTGTGCGGTCAATATAGTCCATCAACAGTTATATTTTCAGATCAGCTGGAATTAACCTTAGCATTCATGATATTATGTCTACTAGCGGTTTAAAAATGTCGCCTCATCAGCGACATCTATATTCTTAAGCTCACCGTACAATGCATCGACTTGCACGTAAGGATAAATAATTTTAGATTCGTACGTGTTGCATTTCATGTATTCCAATCACCCATGTCGCCAATTTGATGCGATACAATTCATACAATTATATTGGGATGCCATGGTGGAAAGATGTTAATTCCCTTGCCTGGTATGCAGGAGGTCATGGGTTCGATCCAGACCCTGACCCTTGTATATTTGTTGTATTGTTCTCCCCGTGGTCTGGTGGATTTTTTTCTGGGTTCTCCGTTTTGTACTTCCACATTTAGAATCAACGTGTTTTTAAGCGTATTTGGCTGCTTTAAGCATTAACGTGATAAGCCATTTCGTTGAGGTATCCTTTCTGGCCAAGTCGCTAATGAAAGAAAGATATATAGCTCAGTGGGTCTTACCTGGTAAAATTAAATGAAAAGAGTTTTTAATAGTTTATAGTTCTATAAAGAAATAATCCTTGAATGGAATCGTCATAATGTGAACTTCTGTCATGTCATATTTTGGTTACCAGAAAAATGTACAAGTCTGTTTCACCACGAAAATATAATAAATTAAGTATATTTTTCTCCATTTGCCAATCAGCGTATGGGGCAATTATTTTACACCATAATTTAAGCAGGTAAATGCTGGACTGGTTTTAAATTTCCGAGTCATCAGCAGGGTGAGTGCCCATTTGCTGCTCACCACGCAAATTTCACGGAGCCTCAGTACAGAAAACAAAGTACAAAAGTTATCACTTGCCGTTGTGGTGGATTGTATTGTTTACTTTATTTTTAAGTGGCAAAACAGACATTCGTATTACTGTATTACCCGTGAACAGGCCACCGGTTAGAAATTAAATATTCGTTTTTAAATCTGGGGAGTTTACATTTAAGAAAAGAAAAACACTCGCCTTGCTGCTAACTCTCAGAGCAGCCAACGCATCATCACAACTTACAACACGGGTCGACAGCCAGGCAACCCTTTTCAAGACAATCGCGTTAATCGTTTTTTTGTTTTCTTTGAACGCGGACAAAAGCGGACCCGACAAACTGCAGTGATGGCCATTTATTCTCTGCGGAAGTTTGTGCGCGCAGGCAAAAAATTGCTTCGTGTCGCCGATAGCGACGCAGCCACGCTGGGCCGGCGAAACGAACTGCGCCCGTCCTGCCTTGGCGTTCGCGCGACGATTCCAGGGTTTGAGGCGGGCAGGGGGGCCTCACTCATGGTGCAACGAGACCACGGCAGCCTCGACCACCGTGCAAGCAATTCGAAGGCGGTGCGCGCCACCCCCCCCCCCCCCACCACCACCACCCCCGCGCCTGCCACCACCGCGGCCGCCGCCGCTTGTTGGGCTTCTGTCCCGTGGCCGTTTTAGTCCCGAAACGCACCGCTTGTACGGGTTGAGCTCCAAACCGTGCTTTCGTGAGAAAAAAAACATATGTATAAAATAAACCGCAGGACAAACCCACCCACCCACCCCATGGACTACGTGTCGCATGCCTGGCAGACAATATGACCACAGTTCCGTGCACTCCCACAACTATAGTGCTTAGACCAAAAAAAAAAGAGACAAACGCAAAATAACTGAATTTGTTCTACCACAGGTTTTCAACCGTCGGTCTGTATACCCGGCCTTTTTTGTTTTGTTATGAAGGCGTTTCAGGATTCGTTGTCTATTCTTCCTCTCCAGTTTTAAAAATGTTGGCCAACCCCTGCTTGCAGCCTTACTTATTGTGTTCACTACACAATTCACCTTTGGTGTTTCCCCCCCCCCCCCCCCTTCGGTGTGCTGTCCACTGCCCGGCTGATCCGATTGTACAAACCTCGTGCCCATCAATCGCCCTCATTGTAGCCGCTAAGCGAAGGGCCCTAGGCCGCCCACTGTGACCCAGATGAGCCGCTCGCTCTGCCGTCAACGTCAACGATCGTTGGCTTCATGGCCGTGACTTAAAGAAGAAAAATCTATTTTTTTTATTACGCTCGACATATACGGTATGACGATTCCACCCGCTTTATTTGTTGTTTGTTATGGGAAACAATTATAATGATGATCATACTAATTGTCATTCACAGGAGGTTTTTCTTAATCCGCTGCTGGATGAAAGCCTCGTGATGTCGTGTCAATCATGGAGTGTATTACATATTCGTACAATATCCATCTTTTATTTCACAGTCACCTGGTTCTGAACCAAAGGAAGTGAAATGATTTCGTGGGACAGGCGAGGGAAATGTGAGCAAAGGTGCAGCCCCTGCAATTGCTCGCTCACGCCACCGCCGACACAAGGCCCTCCCCGGCTCGCGCAAACTCTAAAGGGCATTTGGGTCCACCTTTCCACGTTGACCAGACGTGTTGGAAAAGGTGGCCGTCCCCAGACTTGACCCCACCGCCACGCGTTGATCTCAGGTCTTCTCTTTTACATTGCCAGGTGGACAGAGGTTGGTGGTGGTGTTGGTGGTGATTTGAGTTTCAACTACCGCGCTGGAAGATGGGATCACACCGACGACATTTGGAATGAAAATCCGGCTCGCGAATCAATCCGCACTTCTGTGGGGGCAGGCCACTCGTCGTCAATTCCTTTGTAAGCGGCCAAGACCATCGTATCAACGTATTGCAGTGTTTCTTCACAATTAGTGCAGTTCAGTTTACTATGTAAGCGTCGAGAGAGCACACCGTGTACCGCAACATAAAACAATGAATCTGTCAGTGTTCTAAATAAACTTTTCCCCTCAGCAGTTACATTTACAACAAACAAAAAAAAACACAGCAATATAAATAAAATATTCATATAAAAATACTCTCTTGCAAAATATACAAATAAATGCATTGCTAAGCAAGACTTCCCTACAGTTTAATAGTTAAGTCCGTACAAAATCAAAATAAATAAAAGGGAGAGAAATGTACTTTTGCCTAAAATGCTAAACGCAAGCGAATATTATCCACGAGTCGCGCGTACCGTCAACGTTTAGGCTCGCGGTTTTTATTTATTGTTTGCCAAACCCCCTATAAATTAGTTACGAGGAACACATTCAAACGTTGATACGCAACAAGATATTCTGCGGCATCAGCTGTATGGAAACGAAAAAAAAGCTGGCGTTGTGTGTTCAGGATTCAAATTCACCGATTTCCCGCTCCCCCCCCCCCCCCCCCCCCCCTCACAAATCATCACAGAGAACCGAAAAACGCACAGACTGCACATAGCTTGGTTTCATTTGTGTTTGTCAGTGCTGCACGTTACGACCAAGGTCTTCACACATCGTCTATGAAAAGGTTTTAACAAGACACTCGGAGAGCTATTGAGCTCCCCCCCCCCCTCCCCTGTATATTGCTGCTATTATTTAAACTTTTTTTTTAAGTTCGTTAAATTCTCGCAACAATAATATATTGATTTATTTCAATCTGAAAATAAAAACAAAAATAATTATACTTAAAGTACACTACTCCACAGTAAGTTTTTTTTTTACCTTATTCGCGGAGACTTGTTAAAATTAACGTAAAAATATATTTAATTTTTAAAAGTGATTTAATGTTTATATACTGCATGCAAAGGTGAAGTGGGAGGCTTCGCAGCAGCAGTATGTTTAACTTCATTTTTGTTTAACTTTACTTCTGCATGTAAATGGATTTTCAGAAGTAATTAAACTATTGAGGTTAAAACTGTGCCCTCTTTCACGAAAGGAAATTTGCTTTGACGGTCCTCAATTAAATCTTCCCACTCTCCATCGGCACTTTAAGCACACGGCGATGGGATCTGTCATTAATAAATCCACCGTCTCACAAATCGCGTGGCATGGAAATTACACTTCCATTTCACCCCGCGTTATAATCATTTAAAAAAATATAAACTAAAAGTAAAAATAAAAAAAAACTGTCAAAAAGAACGCCAACAAAAACAACACCACCACAAGAAACAAAAACGTAAAATCAAACGAGCTCAACACTTAACGCCGGCAATAAAAACCGAAACAAACACAAACTGCCCTCCCCATCGTTTCAAGAGGGCATCACCGACCGACCGACCGACCGTCCGACCGACCGACCGCCGCCTCCGTCACTTGCACGTGTACTCCTCTGTCCTCTCGCTGCACGTGCTGCAGCGCACGTAGCAGCACCAGTGGAACTTGCAGTTGCACTGCCACGCGCGCGTGTACTGGTGCGTGTTGTAGCCGCGGCCGCAGCACAGCAGGTCGCAGCCGTCGGCGTGCGGCGACGTGCGGTTGCAGAGGCGGCCGCGCGTGCCCGCGCTGCCCGTCGCTGGGTCCTCCTCGCAGTAGTTGGGCGAGCGCTCGGTGAACACGAGCTCCGTGTCGAGCGGCTTGCGGTACGAGCGCGACTTCTTCACCTTGAGGAACATCGGCCGCATGTAACGGCTGCCGCTCACCGGCTCCACGTGCACCGTGTGCTCGTACTTGTCCTTGAGCGCGTAGCCCACCTCGCGGAACTTGGGCAGCGTCGTCCAGCACGTCTTGGTGGTGCACGAACCCGACACGCCGTGGCACTTGCACTCCAGCTTCATCTTCTCCTCCAGCACCTGGTCGGTGGAGTGGAAACGGCGATAAGGAACCTCTGCGAACAAGCGCCCCAAAAAGACACGTGGCACCGCTGTGCCTCCGTGGCACCGCTGTGCCTCGTGGCACCGCTGTGCTCCGTGGCACCGCTGTGCCCCGTGGCGCCGCCAGAAGGTGGGTTATGGCAGAGCGTGAAGAGCGAAGCGTGTTCAAATACAAGTCGCAAGTACTGGCCATTGGGTTTTACCGCTTGCACCAATGCAAGATTGGATTTTCAAGCCAGTGGTGGCGCAGCAAGTTAGCACGTTGAACTCTGAACTGGGTGACTGAGTTTGATTCCTGGCTACAGCTAACAAGAGGTGCCTTTACCAACCTGCACTAACCGGCATGGTGAAGCAAGGTAAAATTACCACCCAAAAACTGACACAGCATGGGGATTCATTGCAAGTATTGGAATATCGTATGAATTAGAATGGAAAAGCTGCATGTATGTTGAACTTATTTTGCATCGTACTTAGCCACCTGTGCTAAATCGGAGTTTCGGTAGTTGTATATGAATTCTGAAAATATGCAACTCCAGATTAATAAATTTTGTTATTATTTGTAAAGCTATTTTTAGTATTCTGTGTCTTTCGGTAAAATCACGGAGATAGGTTGAATTTTTTTTTTACAAAAAACTACGACATTTCGATTGCAACACAAGCGTTCGTCATCAGTGTTTATGCACGCGCTCTCTCTGTCCGTCCATTCGCACATCACCACTGAATTTGGTTCCCAGAACGTGGGGGCAAAAACCGCCAGACATCGTGCCAAACAGCATGCAGCACGGCCCGGACACAATAAACTATTTTTAAAAATGTGTTTTTATTTGACGAGGTATGGACCATCGAGCCATATAACGCTTTTGTTCAGAAGTGACCTGGCTATCACGAAAGATAGCCCAATGAAGTGGATGAGCATCTGGACATTCAGAGCAGCCACAGACTCTAAACGCGTGACGGTGATTATAAATCTGGGGGGAAAAACCGAAGAACCCGGAGAAAAATCCACGCAAACATTGGGAGAACATGCACACCTCAAATATATTCCACGTCTATGCTTCTCTATGACATCTAACACAGACTTGATACTTTTCCAATGAAGCTGAACGATATCACAAAATAGGTCGATTTTTGCTTTAATTAATCTGGTTCCAAAGAATAAACAGATATCGATGCTCTGAAAATATTGCCACAGACGACATGAATGTATTCACCTTTTTGTTGTCGGTATTAATGTTTTAAATTTGACAGCAATATCCCTCCAACTCATTGCAATGATAACCGGAGAAGATATAGCTGATACATAAATTTGCGTCAATTGCAAAACACTGCGAATCAAACTAAGGCATTTGGTCAAAAACTAAAATCGTGTAAAGTTCAGCATTTTAAAGTGTTTCACAAGAACGTACGGCCACCTTACGCGGCCGTGGTTTTAAAGCGGCCACTTACGATGCCGTCGCAAGAGGATTGCTCCATGACGGAGCGTCTCACTTCGAGGGTCATTTTACAAAACAAAGCGTGCATCCCTTTGCGGGCTTTCGTGGCAAGTGGGTTAATTTTTGCCATAACACCATTACGACAAACGCACAATGACACGCTCTTGTGAAAACCTGCCTTGGTATTTATTGTCCGCGGGCTTAAATATTTTCTCTCCCTCTCTCTCTCTCTCACTCACGGGAGGGGCACCAAAGGGTGGGGGGAAGCTGTGCAACCAGGTGGGGTTTAAAAAAAAACCCTCTCTCTCGGTTCTCAAACAATCCATCTTTAACCCTGCAAATCCCAAACTGTCTGCATAGCTGTGATGTTGCTGTTTCATCTGCTTGTGAAATGCGAGAGAGTCTGAGATGGGGTTTGGGAGGGGTTGGTGTGACAAGGCAGGCGGAGGAAGGAGCGGAGGAGGAGGAGGGAGGGAAGGGAGGAAGAGGAGTGACCCGTTGAAAGTGGAAGGTTAGAGGTAAGGGTCAACGAGAGAGCTGCGTGCGGTCAAATTCGGTAACCCCCTGCGGTGTTTCAATCTTTGCGAGGTAAAATGGAAAAGTATTTTTTTGTTTAGCTGTGACGTTCCAAAACGCTCTAATGCTCGCTCGGCTTGCGAGGGCGGGGATGAGAAAGACACATTTTGCAAGTGACCCGTCATTGCAATTCTGCACTATTTGATTGTGCAACATAATTGCTTCTGTTCTATTTTTTATCTGTAATTGTGGAATGCTGTGATGTTGTCTACTGGCCGAGTCATCGTTGAAAAAAAATGTTTCTTAGCTCTCTGTGGCTTTACTCGGTGGCAAATAAACTTTTGACTCCGATTCTGATTACATTTGGGGAATTTTATTGAAGTGTCTTGCCTGCTTCATACTAGATGATGTTTTTTGTCCAAACTGTTCATCCAGAGGTGTCATTCTAAGCCAGGGATGTGGGGGGGGGGGGAATGCTTTCCTTTACTGGTGGCCAAATACAACTCTCAAATCCCGTAAGCGGGTGAGCACACATTAGCATGCATCTTGTAAGCCTCGGCAGTGCATGAAGGAGCCCTTGATGCAAAGTGATTGCACTTTACTCAGATTAGAACCACAGTGTTTCCAGGTCGATTACATCGAATATATTCCCCCTGATTAGTGTTGCTAAGATGCTTGTAGTGGTAGATCACGTGATCGTAATTTTAATTGTTTTCATCGTAATTTGATTTAAAAAAAACAACAACATAATTTCACGGAAAATTTTATTTGATTTAATAGTTACGTAGATTTGTGTTCCGTTCCTTCTCGAAACGCAGCTTTAGCTCCACTACGTTATTTATTCATTTATTTATCGCCATATATTTGTTTGGCGTTTTAATTTCTTTCGTCGGCTTCGTCGATTCGTGTCGACTCTCGCAAACGAGGCAGAATCCTGGTTTTCCCCCTCTCGACCTCTCGTTAGCTGGCTACACAAACTCAACTCGTGGGCTCCGCTTCAAGAGACGTCCTCAGGTGGGCAGGGGAGGGGCCCCACATGAAGTAAAGCCATCGGCCATACGCCCCCCCCTCCCCCAACTTATTGACGGAGGGTTCAATAAGTTCGTTTGGAGGTTATTGGCTCGGCGTGGCTATCAATGCCCCCCGTGTTCCTGTCCGTCTGCTCATCTCCCTTGTGAAACTCTCCGACCCTCGGCTCGTTGCTCGCAGGGCATTCCAACAGACAACGCTTCGCACCCAACAGGCGCCTGGTGCAAACCTCCCGTCCGAGTTGGTGGGTGCGGGGGGGGGGGGAGGAGGGGTTAATCCCAGGATCCTCTGGTCTCCTGGATATTCTACATCCTACAGCTGAAGAAGGTGCGACCATCCAGGGAGACCGCTTTTGTTGGTTGTCCATTTCAAAGTGACAGACTTTGTGTGGCCATGCGCCCGATGACGTTAAGTCACTGGCCATTGGATTCCCTGCCATCGGAATGTCACGAGTTGAAATCCTGATTTGGGGGTGGGGGGTGGGGGGGTTGACTCAGCCCCTTATCTCTCCGGTTCGATCAAATGAGTACTGCTTTGTAGCGAAGTCAACAGTGGTTTTCCTATCGACAGACTTGCCCCCTGCCATAGGAATGTGGAATTTTTACATTCCAATGCTCCTTCGAACAGGACACAGCTTTCACTCGACTTGCTCATGTGGAGGGGTGTAGAGCGGGCTGTGAGTGTGTGTGGGGGGGGGGGGGGGGAGGGAGGGGCGTCTGTGGTGGGGCGAGTGGTGCAGGAGGGGGTGCGAGTGGGGCAGGGGGTGGGGGGGCGAGTGGGTCAGGGGGTGGGGGGAGCGAGCGCTCGCTGGGCCGCCGAAGTGACGACCGTGAGCGGCCGTCTGGCGCTCACCTTGCGTCCCACGCGATTGTTGTGCAGGTTCATGAGCGTGCGAGCGCTCTGGCGCACCTCGCGAGCGTCCACGAAGAGGCGCGACAGCTCGAGGCCGTGGCGGACGTCCGCCGAGCAGCCGCCCCAGCGCCAGCCCTCGCGCGCGTTGTACGAGCCCTGGCGCGCACGGTCGCAGCCACACTCGCTCAGGTTGCCCTGGCTGCACGCCGTCGTGATGGCGTGCGCCACGCCCGCCGACGCCACCGCGTGCGCGAACGCCGCCTCTCGGCTGCCTTTGGAGGGGTCGGTAGGGGTCGGTAGGGGTCGGAGGGGTCGGGAGGGGTCGGAAGGGACGGTAGGGGTCGGAGGGGTCGGTAGGGGTCGGTAGGGGTCGGAGGGGTCGGAGGGGTCGGTAGGGGACGGGAGGGGTCGGAGGGGTCGGTAGGGGACGGGAGGGGTCGGGAGGGGTCGGAGGGGTCGGTAGGGGACGGGAGGGGTCGGGAGGGGTCGGTAGGGGTCGGTAGGGGTCGGTAGGGGTCGGTAGGGGACGGTAGGGGTCGGGAGGGGTCGGTAGGGGTCGGTAGGGGTCGGGAGGGGTCGGAGGGGACGGGAGGGGTCGGAGGGGTCGGAGGGGTCGGTAGGGACGGTAGGGGTCAGAGGGGTCGGAGGGGTCGGTAGGGGTCGGAGGGGTCGGAGGGGTCGGAGGGGACGGTAGGGGTCGGAGGGGTCGGAGGGGTCGGAGGGGTCGGAGGGGACGGTAGGGATCGGAGGGGACGGTCGGGGTCGGTCGGGGTCGGTAGGGGTCGGTCGGGGTCGGAGGGGACGGTAGGGGTCGGAGGGGTCGGAGGGGTCGGAGGGGTCGGAGGGGACGGTAGGGGTCGGAGGGGACGGTAGGGGTCGGAGGGGACGGTAGGGGTCGGAGGGGTCGGTAGGGGTCGGAGGGGACGGTAGGGGTCGGTAGGGGTCGGAGGGGTCGGAGGGGACGGTAGGGGTCGGAGGGGACGGTAGGGGTCGGAGGGGACGGTAGGGGTCGGAGGGGTCGGAGGGGTCGGAGGGGTCGGAGGGGACGGTAGGGGTCGGAGGGGACGGTAGGGGTCGGAGGGGACGGTAGGGGTCGGAGGGGTCGGTAGGGGTCGGAGGGGACGGTAGGGGTCGGTAGGGGTCGGAGGGGTCGGAGGGGTCGGAGGGGTCGGAGGGGACGGTAGGGGTCGGAAGGGACGGTAGGGGTCGGAGGGGACGGTAGGGGTCGGAAGGGACGGTAGGGGTCCGTAGAGGACGGTAGGGGTCAGCAGGGTTGGGAGGGGTTGGAGGGGTCCGAGTGGTCAGCAGGTGTTCGAGGGGTCGGAGAGGTTGGAAAGGTTGGAAAGGTTGGAAAGGTCGGAGGGGTCAGAGGTGACACGGGCGATAGGAGACGCGTATCAGTGGGGGAGGGGGGTGACATCTGCGACAGACGAAATTCCCTGGAAAACAGCATTGTGGGGGGAGGGGAGGGGGCACCACCACCACCACCACACGGGGGGCGGCAACTGTAGGAGGACTCCCCAGCACCACCGGCACGACTCGCGATGGAAAATAGATTCTGGATGGCCAGCGATGCTCAAATACCAAAGAATAAAAAATAAACGAAAAATTTAATGTTGAACATTTGTGACATCGTTGGACGCATCTGACATTACTGAGATTAACAGACATGTATGACATCACCGCACGCGTATGATTTCGTTGACTCTGCGGTATCTTTTTAAGGTCACTAATTTTTAAATCACATTTTCAGGTCCTCCTAACCCGCATTCGACCCGTTGTGATCTCCTCCACGGCTCATGCCCCCAAATCTCTTCAATCCGGTGGTGGTCATCATCATAACCACCATCATCACCATACGTCATGGTCTATCAACTGCTGGATGAAGGTTTTCCCACCTTGTCAGCATCGCTCACGGTTTGGCGACAACCCACAATCCATGTCATTCCGAAGCATACACTTCTCATCGCTCGCTCCATCCCTACAGAGGCCAACCTCTCCTTTGGATTGTGTGCATGTTGAACGTCTTTCGCACCGCACGTAGCCAACAGTGCTAATCGGAGGTGCGGGTAAAGACGACAAACTAAAAACAAAAAGCAGTTCTAAAAGAAATACATTTTCATTCTAGATTTTAAAGCGCATAGCTCCAGTGGCTTCCTAATATCAGAAGGAAGTACATTTCAGACAGCCGCAGAAGCGCATTTGAAAGCACGCGATGCGGTAGCCGTCTTTGTTCGATGGATAGCCAAAAGCCGCTGTCAGGACGACCGGAGTTTGCGTGAAGACAGTTTTCATTCTGTTAACAGCCTCGATCGGTGTTCATTGTCCCTTCGAGCAAACGCCTCCTGCCCAAGGCCTCGTCGCTTTCCCTAACGTTCAAAACGATGTCTCTAATTCGCGGGTGTTTCCTGTTCCACGTGTTCTAATTTACACCTGTCAGGACGATTGCAAACATGAGCCTTTCCATCCTTTTCACCTTTTGTTCCATTTTATCCGTCATTGTCGATATGTTTAATGCGTGTCCCTGCGGGCAATATTAACCGATTGCAAACATTCTTCTGCATTGCATTTGCTATGTTCTGCTTGAGTTTATTGGTCTCCTTTTGTCCATACTGGACATCTGTAAACAAAAAAACAACAGAGCTTCGTAGCTCATCGGATTCCTCCTCCACAGTCTCAATCAAGATTCCGATTTTCCACGTTGACCTATGACCTTTAGCACTTAACAGCATCAGCAAAAAGAATGCTGTGAACCAGCGATCTGTCTGGGGCCACTTATCCCATAATCACACTGAAGGTCAAGACCTAAGGTTATAGCTAAGGTCAAGAGAAGCCTCCCCCCACCACCACCACGCACTCACCTTCACATGAAGTGGCGGGAATAATGACAAACGCCTCTGGTAGTGAGCAAAATGCCACATCAGTTTGGCACAAGAATATTGTTTTAAACGAGCATTTTGGAAACACGCCGAGGTTGATTGACTCCAAGGCTTTGTCAAAAGTGCCGGGACATGCAAGATACTATTTACATATATATTTTAAAACCTCTTTGAATATTTGTGCTACTACCATCCAAAATTTAATTGGTGGATTGAGGGAAATATGATTGTGAGAGATACCAAAACTATTCGAATTCACGCGGACATTCATAACACGGTAGTAAAAAAAATAATAATCTTAAATCGAATCGTGCTGATGCTCGCAAAAAACGAAACATTATATTGAAAAGTTTCTTCAAAGAGGGCGCGACGCGGACACAGTGCCAACGAGCTCAAACCAGGCCCTCACCCCTCAGCTGTCACGTGATTGATGGGGCAATTCAGGGATTTTTTTTTTTCCCCGGCCACAAACTCATAGCCCCCATTTTTTTCCACAACAACCGATCAACGGATGCCCGTCAACGTTTACCGTCCAGATGATAAGCGCTGCTGACGAAGTGATGAGGGGGAAAATCGTCACCCTGTGAAGTGTGACGCACTGCATGGCATGTCAATGGTCACTGTGCGTTGTGCGCGCATTGGGCGCATATTGCTGGACTGTGTAGAACGGTGGTTCTTAACCTGGGGTGCACGCATCCCCTGTGGGTGTGAGATGCCCTCTCTGGGGGTGCGAGACATGGGCAGACTTGTTCTTAGATAAATAGTCGAAACACAAATTAAGCACGGGAACACGTAAGTACAACTACTTTATTTCATCAAACCTATGTATTATTTATTAACGTTATGATTTTTTTTTTTTACGATTAAAAACCGAACGGATGCAAAGGCTGCAGTAAAGATTAAGGGCCACTGTTGGAGAATAACCGATGATCTGTCAAGCAGCTTTGTTGTTTAGAAGGTTGGCTCTGTAATCGATTGACCGTCTAGCTGGTGAACTTCGAAGCTAGACCGTGCAAAAAGCAGCATTTTGTAGCTTTGTGAACCATGTGTGCGGTTGGTGGTATGTCTGGTGTATTGGGTCGACTGTATCGCTGGTGAACTCTCAACTGTGAAGTGGGTGGACCGTATAGCTATTAGGCCTTTCCAACTGGTGGACTGTGTCTCCGATGCATCTTGAGGTTGGTAGACTATAGCGAGTAGACTCTGAGCATAAGTAATAGACTATGTTGCTAGCGGAGCTGTGAGGCAGCTGGATTGTGCAGCCCAATTGATTATGTAGCTGGCGGGTTTAGGCTGTGGTCTGGGTAGCTGGTGGACCGTGTCGATAGATGATCGAGGCCGATGGCCTGCAAGACGGGCGAGTTGTGTAGCCGGTGGACTGTGCGCATAGCCAACAGGGCTAGGTGACTGGTGTACTGTGAGACAGGCTGACTGGGTGTGCTGGCAGACTGCGAGTATAGCCAACAGTCTATGTGGTTGTAGGGGGACTGTGATGAGACATACGGACCGCGTGTGTAACTGACACTACTGCGTGCGTGAGCCACGCACCGCCGCGTGGACTGTGTGGACCGCGTGTGTCGGGGCGTGCCGCTGTAGCGAGGCGACTTACCTACTTTGAGCTCTTGCCCGAACACAGTACGTTCACCCAGCGCCGTGCAGTTCCAGCGACCGAAGCGGAACTGGTACTGGCACTCGCTGATGCCCAACTGCGCGCCCTCCCCGATGACGATGATGACATCGGGCCGGCTTTGGCACAACGCTCGCTGCCGCGGGGCCAGACCCGGGATCTTGTTGCAGATGATGTTGGCACCCAGCGCGACCACGGACGACAGCGCCCTGCAGGTGGGCGATGGTGGATGGAGAGAGGGGAGAGAGAGGAGGGGACAGGGATGATTGGGGAGCAGGGGATGAGTGGCATATTGAGAAACAAAATTTAAATGAGTCCAGGTCCCCGTGGAATAACTTGCCAAATTCTACGCGTCATCCGGAGACCACCCATGAGATGGTAACATGGTTGGGCTATTCCGACAATCGGTTTCTTGGTTGTGGTTTTCTTGGATTGTCTGAGATTTTGTTTTGCTGTTGGTACAACGCTCAGTACAACGCGCGTTGGTACACAAGTACAAACTGTGCAATGCGTACGTGCGCTCTGTGACCTGAACGCATGTGCAAGCACAATATTAAATAAATATTAACTTATTAGTGGGCTTTTCATTATTTCTATCACACTCCATGGGAGGTAGATTGCTGTGGTTTACTGACGATAGAGACAATGTATCTGTTGGTATTTTGCATGAGACCTTAAGCAATGTTACGAGTGAAATCAGTAAACCCTATAGGCCATCATTCAGTTTGTCAGTTTTGTATTCTAGTTATAGGCATAGATGCGACAATATTTGTACGAAGTTTTGGCTCTCTCGCGCTTTCTAAAACATCACAAAAATGTCCATCACTCACTCACAATCATCCCCACCATGTGAGATAGGACCGTATTTGTGCACACGGCTGCTGGAAAGTAACACACAACGATGGCGATTAAGTACATTCAACGCATTCATACATCAAGTCACATTTGAGAGGATTGCAAAAAAAATACAATGTAGTCATTGTTGGGACTGTGCTTTATTCTATAACTGAATGATAACACTATATAACACGATTTTTGTTCCTGGGTAGTAAGTGTTATTTTCTAATTGCTTATGCCTCAAAAGTATAGAAAATGGCTATTATTATTATTCCCCACAAACTTTGCTTTTGTGACCAGGACTTTATGTGAAGGAATGACACAAATGCACACCACGTTTTCTCATTGAAAATAGGTACATTTCAAAATATCACTGTCCTGGTCACAAAAGCAAAGTTTGTAGGGAATAATAGCCATTTTCTGTACTTTTGAGGCATAAGCAATTAGAAAATAACACTTACTACCCAGGAACAAATATATATATATTTTTGTTACAGTGCAATATAATGTATTTATTTATAGTAATGTAATACCTCTGTGCAGTATATTATGTTAAATCACTGTTTACAGAGTAACACATCTAATTGATAAATAAATATCAGTTTAAAGATGTATACCCTATACATCTTGGTCTCATTTATTTTTAGAAATACACTTTCTAGACCGCATTGTATTTTCATATAACAGAACGTCTTACTTTGAAGAAATTATAAATCCAAAGTCAAATGGGTGTTTCTAAGGCAGACATAAGCAAAATACGTTAAAACATTTTTTTTTACATTAGTCGATTTTGATGAAATAACTCAATGTTTCAGCACGTGTGTTATCACCAATACTATATAGTTACATTTCACCGCGTTTACATTTGTAAACATATAACCAGATGCCTTCCAGCACGTTTGCGAGCGTTAATTTAAAATGCGACTAGGTTTTTAATACACAGTTCACGGTAAATTACCTTTTAAAAGAGGGTGCTCTATAAGAACATAGACTGTGGCAGTGTGAGCGAACCGCACAGCGAGTAGCGCACATTTTAAAGATGATGGCCTCCCTCCCCCACTTCGTGTCGGTCAGAGAGGTTATTTGACCATACTTCACCACGTTGGTCAGTGCTTGTTGATAAACGTGGGGAGGGGGAAATCGCCCTCTAAAACTAAACAATTTTCTTTTATTTTACCGGCTAAGGCCAACTGAACTATATAGCTCTTTTTCAGAAGCCAACTGGCCACAAATAATAGTTCAATGACATGGCTCATCATGCGGAAATGTATAGCAGCCAAATGCTCTCAACGCCACTGATGTTAGCCGTGGCCCGGAATCGAACTCAGTAGGGGGCGCCGGGAGGTTTCATAGCCGAGATGCGCTAACCGCTGCGTCACCGCTCCTCCCGTAACGATATTATTATTCAACTTCATTAAAAATGCTCTCCTTTCATCGCGGAATCCAATGATGTTACATTACCTGCCATTACCGAGTGTGATACTTGGCACGGGCGCATAACGTACAATTACACAGCCACCCTGATGTGCGGATGAATGCCCCAACCTGAACAGCAGCAGCAGCATTGTGACGGAATTATTACTATCATTAGGACCAAGGTAAAATACAAACAAAAAACTCACGCCGCATTCCTTTGTGTTGTGGATACTTTCGTAATTGCTCAGCCGAGATTAGCAACACCTGCGGGAGTCATGGCTTCCTAGAGGGAGGGCTCTATATCATCGGGTACGGCTGTATGCCCCCTCGCATTATAAGACTCATCGGAAAGTAAGACGCACCCCCCCCCCAGCTTTCATCTCGCCTCACATTACAAACACATCGGAAGGTGCACTTCCCAACGTTTTCATTCAGAATACAGGCAGGGGAAATGTGTTGTTTAAACGCAGAGAGACCTCCACGGTTTATCAGTTCTTTCCCGTTCGACGCGGTGATGTCTGCCGATTGTGTCGATTTCGTTTTCGTTATTCGCGCGGTGCGCACCACTGCCATCACAGCCAGCCCCAACATCCACTCGGTGTGCACCACTGCCATCGCAGCCAGCCCCAACAATCACTCGGTGTGTACCACTGTCATCGCAGCCAGCCCCAACATTCACTCGGTGCCCACCACTGCCATCGCATCCAGCCCCAACATTCACCCGGTGTGCACCACTGCCATCGCAGTCAGCCCCAACGTTCACTCGGTGTACCACTGCCATCGCAACCAGCCCCAACATTCACTCGGTGTGTACCACTGCCATCGCAGTCAGCCCCAACATTCACCCGGTGTGCACCACTGCCATCGCAGTCAGCCCCAACGTTCACTCGGTGTACCACTGCCATCGCAACCAGCCCCAACATTCACTCGGTTTGTACCACTGCCATCGCAGTCAGCCCCAACATTCACTCGGTGCGCACCACTGCCATCGCAGCCAGCCCCAACATTCACTCGGTGCGCACCACTGCCATCGCAGCCAGCCCCAACATTCACTCGGTGTGTACCACTGCCATCGCAGCCAGCCCCAACGTTCACTCGGTGTGTACCACTGCCATCGCAGCCAGCCTCAACATTCATTCGGTGTGTACCACTGCCATCACAGCCAGCCCCAACATTCACTCGGTGCCCACCACTGCCATCGCAGCCAGCCCCAACGTTCACTCGGTGTGTACCACTGTCATCGCAGCCAGCCCCAACATTCACTCAGTGCCCACCACTGCCATCGCAGCCAGCCCCAACATCCACTCGGTGTGCACCACTGCCATCGCAAATCAGCCCCAACATTCACTCGGTGTGTACCACTGCCATCACAGCCAGCCCCAACATTCACTCGGTGTGTACCACTGCCATCGCAGCTAGCCCCAACATCCACTCGGTGTGCACCACTGCCATCGCAGCCAGCCCCAACGTTCACTCGGTGTGCACCACTGCCATCGCAGCCAGCCCCAACATTCACTCGGTGTGCACCACTGCCATCGCGGACAGCCCCAACATTCACTCGGTGTGTACCACTACCATCGCATCCAGCCCCAACATTCACTCGGTGTGCACCACTGCCATCGCAGCCAGCCCCAACATTCACTCGGTGTGCACCACTGCCATCGCAGCCAGCCCCAACATTCACTCGGTGTGCACCACTGTCATCGAAGCCAGCCCCAACATTCACTCGGTGCGCACCACTGCCATCGCAGCCAGCCCCAACATTCACTCGGAGTGTACCACTGCCATCGCAGCCAGCCCCAACATTCACTCGGTGCGCACCACTGCCATCGCAGCTAGCCCCAACATTCACTCGGTGTGCACCACTGCCATCGCAGCCAGCCCCAACATTCACTCGGTGCGCACCACTGCCATCGCAGCTAGCCCCAACATTCACTCGGTGTGCACCACTGCCATCGCAGCCAGCCCCAACATTCACTCGGTGCGCACCACTGCCATCGCAGCCAGCCCCAACATTCACTCGGTGCAAACCAACGCCATCGCAGCCAGCCCCAACATTCACTCGGTGCGCACCACTGCCATCGCAGACAGCCCCAACATTCACTCGGTGCGCATCACTGCCATCGCAGCCAGCCCCAATATTCACTCGGTGCAAACCAACGCATGCCATGCTCCACGCCGACTGAGCGCCCGCTCATTTCTGTTTCGTGGCATTGTCGCCGCTACGAGCTCGCCAAGCACGTCGTTTAGCCCATGGCGCGCTTGTGAAGAGCCGATATATAAATAAATATTTACATCGTTCGTTTTGGTGTTAGCTCAGGGAACCAAAAAGAATAACCCACGATCGTGACCAGTGCCTATTTTGGGAGAGAGAGAGAAAAAAAACAACCCCGCCGCGTTTTCGAGAAATGACAATTCAAGCTCGTGTCGTCTCTCCGCTCTTGCATCAGTGCACACACGTTGCTGTGAATCTTGGCTCAACGATTTGTTTGGTGTTAAATAACAAACAAACAAACCGAGTATGACCGATGGCTCCAACTGAGCAACAATGCTGCACCCAGTCGCGTTATGAGCATTGCTTTGTGCGACTGCCATGATTGTGGCCGGTGCAGAAGCTCGGAGTTTTAGTTGTTGTTGTTGTTGTTTTAAATACACATACCGTACTCATGTAATGCGTGCCGAGTTGTTGTGTTTATTTGTGCTCGTGTACCGCTGCCAATGCAGTAGCAGCATTGCTAAATAATTGATAGAGTGCGTGTGCGTGTGTGTGAATTGCGAATCGATAACTGTTGGTAAATATATTCACAATCGTCAAGAAAAAAATTCTGTACTAATACAACTATTACGGTAATGAGCTGTTGTAATATAAACACACATCCAACTTTGTAGGAAATACACAATGCACACATTTGTACGTTAATGTAGATGCAAGATAACAAACAAAAAACGTGTACGC